AATATATTACTTTGACACCAAATACACAGCTACATAAATATGAAATACTTGTAAAATTATATCACAAATTACATCATTAAACTTTCACAGTACACCGAGCAGGTGGACATGTTTAAGAAAACAGAAATTATATAATGATTTATTATAATTCACACAGTCGATAAACAAATATTTGTAAACCACTTTCGATTTTGTAACATTCATTTCTCTTCATTCATTCAATATTTGATAAACTACACGCGGTTTCTTAATAACATGTCCATCGTCACAAAAACGTCATATGAAAAAATATCGTGAAAGTCTCAACTTTTAAACTACAGGGTGCTAAACTTTTAAGAAAAAATATTTTTCATGATAACGTTGGTATAATCCTCTGCAGAAAGAAATTAAAATATCTAAAACAACAGCTGACCTGAAAAACATGCAAGTGTATCATCTATGTTTTTGAGGCCATCAAGTTTAACTGAATTTGTAAAATACTAGAGCCAAAGAAAGCTTCTGGGTATGAAGATATAGCACGATGGGTATGATGATAATAGCATAAATATTGCAAAATCAGTCAAGACGGAAATCTCACCTATTTCTCACCTATCGAAACTGCTGAAAATGATATTTCTAAGAATGAAAAAAAAAAGATCCTCACAAAATCAGCTTTTTCATAATTTTAGAACGATTGATGAATGAAAGATTACCCGATTGATTTGAAAACAATAATATTTTATATGGTTTGTGTGAAGCATTTAATGCCCTACATCATGATATATCGATCTCAAAACTTAACAATTTAGATATCAGAGGGGATATCCTCAATCGGTTAGTAAATTATATAAATGATCGACAACAATATGACTCTATAAAAAATGGGTTACCGCAAGGATATATTCTTGGTCCGCTTGTTTTTGAATTTACATAAACTCATCAATGAATTCAGGTCTGGAGGAATCAGTCAAATCATTTGCTGATGATACAACTATATTCTCTTCGTTTAACTTCAACAAAATTCAAGATGATATAAAACAGACACGAAAACAAATTCAAGCTGGCTACAAGAACAAAAAGTAACTCTGAATTTTCAAAACCTCAGTATATGAATATTTCTTAAAGATTATTGAGCAGTTGTACCAATCCTATAATTATTGATAACAATTCAATAAGTTATACCAATTCTTTTAGATTCTTAAGATGAGAACGTGATAAAAATTAATCGTGGACTAATTGCATTCATTCGAAAAGAAGTAGCACCTCTACTTGGTATACATTCTATTTAATTGTATTATCATATTTCTATTTGGGAAGCAGCCTATAAATCCACAATAAGACCTTCGAAATATTTACGAAATGAAACTATGAGACGTTCTTCACCAGACACAAAATATATCGGCGGAACTTTTGACGAATTGAAAGAAACAACAAGGATGGCTTGCATAGTTTTAACTCCATAAAAATGCTTGGAAGTTATATTGACATTTATCTTTTCTCGTTTGTTACTTGATATATTGCATGTTCTTCCGTTCTAGACCCAAAAAATATTGGTCCTACTTTTTTAAGGTAGCTCTCACCGGCAATTGTATAGTTATACAGTGACGCTGAGAAAAACTTCGGAAAACACATGTAGTAACTGAATTTTTCATCACAGTGGCTACAAAAATCGATGAAAAACTGAAACAGTATTTTAATATTCAATCTGAATAGTTTTATATTGGACTATTTGCTCATATTGATTATTTAACTTGTGTCTTCTTACTTAATATTTCATTATTTTATTGAATTTTATCATAAGCTTTCAGTCCTCATTTATAAACATTCAATGTTTCTTGGGATAAACAATATCTACTGAAATTTTATGGCCCCTGAAATACGTGATATTGAGAAATTGTACGATTCGCATAAAAAAACAGACCGATACATGTAGCGGCACAAATAGGTTTAATTGACCATTTAGATTTCGATTGCGTAGTACAAAAACTAGTAAGTAGTACAGAAGTATTTACATTTACTCGTACATTTTATGTAGTTCTGACATAAGTTTGCTGTAAACGGAATATACACTTCAATGCTTCTTCTGAAAATTGAGAAATACTGATTTGGAATTCCACAAAACATCCTTCTTCTTTGTTCCCAACTTGTACTGACACAGTCAAAATGCTTGATCACCTTTCGATGTAACCAAGGCCAGGTAAAAAAACGAAAGTGAAATCTTCGGCTAACCTGTTATTGCCTTCCGAATCAACAGACGATGCGTTACGACATACACAACATTCTGAAAGTTGGAACCAGATTTCGAGGTGAAAAGTGAATTCAAAGGGTGTTCTAGATATGGGTCCTTCACCCGTGCGTAGAGACCATGCAAATACCATTGAGAATTGCCAAGCCCAGGCTGGGTTTGTTTGCGGCGTTCTTGGATTGTTGGTAATGATACGATGAAATGTTGTTGAAAAGTCGACACAATGAACAGAAGTCGTTTTTGTGGAGGAAATCGGAGTTTTCATCGACAATGTTGGGGATTTTCACCTTCCACAATCTGAAAAACTGAAATTTGAAACGGAGAACGTCATACTGGTGTAAAAAGGTAAACTTTTCTGGTCACCCCGATGAGTTACTGCGTGAGTTCAAGGTATTTTACACGATAAAATAAAAGGAGCTAAATATTGTATAGATACTTTCTGAGGCCAAACGTTTCTTGCAGTTTTCCTTCGATTCGTTTTGTTTTTGAACTTTATTTCGATTCTGAAGACGAAGGCAGATTTTGGTTTCCGAAACGTTATGGTAAGTATCTGTACAATTTCTCAAATCTTTTTTATAGGCAAAATTATCAAATACAAGTTGCTGCTGTATAGTACATTTTCTTTTGTGTGAAAAATACGAATTCACGCCGTAAATAATGGGGTGAACTAAAAACTTTCTACACCTATATAAAGCTTTTCATTACAATTTTTTTCATGTCGAGGAAGGTGGAAAATCTCCAAAAAAATTGGTTATAAAAGCACTTCAACGTTCAAAATAATGGTTATTATAATATAGTAATTGTAAAACTATTTAGACATATTTATCGCAAAAATAAACAATCTCGCGACATGTATTCAAGTGGTCTTACAAACGCATGCGACTGGAATGATTCAAATTGCATTGGTTTTGTTTTGCGTATTAGTGAATCACTTTGAAGGTTAAAGTCGTTTTGTGTTGTATTCAGGTAGACAGATACCCACCTATTTCAAAATGAAGGTCATTGTTATTAATTACAAGCTGATATGACACTATGACAGATATGCTCTGCTGCCTGTCGCGTCGCTAGTATATTATAAATCTCAGAACCTATTATTTATGATTATTCCGTCAAAAAGGTTATATTTGGTATTACACAATGCTATAAAATCTGCTGCAGACGGCCTACCTTTAGATTACGAAAGCGTTATTGTAAAAATATATTAATTTCTTTATATTTATACGGTTGGAGTTGAAGCTCTAAGGGAATTTTGCGCTGAAGCTGAAATAGAACATCACCAAATGCTCGGCTACAGGAAATCTTGCTGGCTTGCGCTGATGCCTGCTTTGGAGATGTTCCTTCGAAAAATATAAATACAACTAAAAATATAATATGTTGCGTATAATTCAATAATTACTGTCACATTAACCACTGTCCTAATCTGGAAGAACAGGTTATTTTCATCGCCATTAGATGAAAATAAACTGAACTTCGCCTTTTAGTTTCCTGTGATAAAAAATTTTGTATTAAACTGTTAATTACCTTATATTGGAAATAATAAAGACGAATTATTATTATTATTATTGAAAGGTGTTTTAATGAGTCCATACAGTATGGAGTATGGTCCCAACTGTATGGCCATACATACATAGGTACCTATGTTATATATGATATGTACATCTTTCACACTAAGTTCATATCACTGTGGTGGGCTGTCTACTCAGACAAATTTTGCTGCCCACTTCACCCGAAATGTTTGTAAATGTCCCTTATTTCCATGAAACTGAAAAAAGTAATTGCTGTACATGAGTCGTCGTAGATAATAGATAATATTGTTGACTTATGAAAAATAGAGCAAGTTTGAATAAGGTAGTGAAAAGTGGGTGAAATGAAAAGCAGGTTTTGGAATTAATTATAAAAAATGGAACATTAGCAGAAATCCATAACAGAATAACATATCACAAATGCATAAAAATGTGTGTAATTTATTGTTCAATAAACTGCGTAAAATGAAGAAGTATCTAAGATAATTGAATGGAACTGGACGATACTTGATGAAAATCCATATTAAAACTAATTAATACAGTTTATTGTATGATTTTCACTTAAAGTTAGAATCATACAATAAACTGTCTATTCTCACCTTTAGGACTGAACACTGTTTCAAGACTTTTTTGTACCAATCAAGCGCCAAAAAATTCTTGATTTCCTACCAGGGTTGAAAAATCGTGTTAGATCAAGTTATGAGTGGTTCGAAAATTATGGAAAACTTTTAAACCCTTGTAATACAGCGCTTGAAGGGCTAGATCATGTTCCATATAACTAGATATTTTAAATGATTCCAAAAATAATATTTGACGCCTCTGATAGAGGATTGTTCTCAGTGATTTTGATGCATATTGATCGTTGCCCTGCCTTGAAACCGGCGCTGATAAAGATCATCAAAAGAAAAATGCAATTTTTCATTATGAGGCGCAACTTATCGATCCTACAAATTTAAAGTTAATTGCTTTCTTCAACAAAAGGTATACCTACCTGAAAGATTTTCTTCACATGATTTAAAAACCACCAACCATTATTTCCCAATTATTGTTATGATAATCAGATCCTCTGTTTAAAGTATAGGATACTATTCAAAACATGAAGAAATAATCAAAGAATATCTTGAAGAGAAATGCGTTTAACAAACATGTATATTAAAAGTCGCAGTTACGATTATCGGAAACGTATATACCGAATTGTAGCTGAAAGACAAAGTGTAACACAGTTCTTTGATTTCTTCTTTACTTTGAGTCAAAAAATATCTCAAAACATGTTCAAAAACCTAATTTGCATTGTTTTCATTTCAGCACATGGACAGGAAAATTTCAAATGTCCGGACGATTTCGGTTTCTACCCCCACCACATATCCTGTGACAAATACTGGAAATGTGACAACAATGTTGCGGAACTGAAAACTTGCGGTAACGGATTAGCTTTTGATGCCAGCGATCCAAAATTCTTGACTGAAAACTGTGATTACATCCACAACGTCGACTGCGGTGACAGGTCTCAACTTGGTAAGTTTTCTTTATCATCCAAACAAACATAGTGAATCACAGTAGAGAGGAGTGGATCCTCCATGAGAAGGAAATATCAAGAGCAGATAGTTATTGTTTCACAGATGGATCAAAAACACCTTCAGGCTCTGGTAAAGGTAATTTCAGTTGCAGACCCAGGACAGAGATATCAACCTGCCTACAGACCTATGCGACTGTATTCCAAGCCGAAATCTGTGCTATTGAATTGTGTGCGGATAGATTGCTAGAATCCAACCTCACACACAAGTCAATAAAAAATTTCCCGGGGAGCCAAGCGGCGTTGGAAGCTCTTGGTTCCTACCGAGCAACGTCTAAATTGGTATCAAATTGCCAAAACGACTCTACTCAATAGAAAGACTTAACGAATTGCCTCTGGTCTGGGTTCCCGGTCACACTGGCCTGGAATGAGGCTGCTGACTCCCTTGCAAAGGAAGGTGCTGCAAGAAGCTTCATCGGACCAGAACCTCTGTCATTGGCATCACTTTAGGTTTTGCCAAACAAACACTGAACACCTGGATAGCAAGAAGATGTAAAGACTTTTGGCAAAATCTTTCGGGATTGGCTCACTCCAAAGAGTTCATTCACCCTTTGAAACCAGTTGTTGAACTTCAGTAGGGATGAACTGTGATGTCTAACAGGCCTCCTTACAGGTTACTGTCGTCTGAATCATCATATGCAGATATTCGGACTGTCGGAAGACATTGTGTGTCGCCTCTGTTCGAAAAATGATGAAACAGCGGAGCTATTGAATATTTATGAAAATATTGATCTCCATAACTTGTGACCAGGATAACACAACTGAATTGTTATGTAAAATTAAATGTACATTTCTTTTATTTCAGAACCTCCAATCAGTTCACCCCACTGTGAGCGTTTGTACGGTATTTTTGCTGACGAAGCGAAATGTGACGTCTTCTGGAATTGCTTTTTGATGCCAGCGATCCAAAATTCTTGACTGAAAACTGTGATTACATCCACAACGTCGACTGCGGTGACAGGTCTCAACTTGGTAAGTTTTCTTCATCCGTCAAACAAACACAGTGAATCACAGTAGAGAGGATTGGATCCTCCGGGAGAAGGTTCATAGATGGTTCATAGATGGATCGAAAACACCTACAGGCTCTGGTACAGGTTTTTTCAGTTGCAGACCCAGGACAGAGATATCCTGCCTAGGAACCTTTGCGACTTTATTTCAAGCGGAAATATATGCTATTGAATTGTGTGTGGAGAGATTGGTAGAATCCAGCCTCACACACAAGTCAATAAAATGTTCTCAATAGGAAGATTGTCTCTGGTGTATATTCCTGGCCACATTGGCCTGGAAGGCAATGAGGCTGCTGACTCCCTTGCGAAGGAGAGTGCTGCAAGTGGCGTCATCGGACCAGAACCTGTCATTGGCATCACTTTAGGTTTTGCGAAACAAACGTTGAACACACGAATGACAAAAAGATTTGAAGACATCTGGCAAAATCTTCCAGGATTGGTTCACTTCAAGGCGTTCATTCACCCTTCGAAGCTTGAAACCAAACAGTTGTTGGACTACAGTAGGGATCTGTATCCATATCTAGAGAAGAGCAGGGAGGGTGAGTGTAGGCCCACAGCACTTAAGCCACATGTGACCCAATGTATATCCCCCTGAGGAGTGAGGACAAGTCACTAGGAGACATCTCCTTTCTCTCGGCATGTGTAGGCAGGTGTATGTGTAGGTCAATCAGAGTATGTGAACACACACTCTCTTATCAACGATAACTCCGGACACTCGCATAAGACATGCCTGACAGTTTCATCTTCCTGTTTACACATTCTGCATACAGGGGTATCCACTAGCCCCATAATATGGAGGTGTTCCCTCTGTTGACAGTGGCCAGTCAGAAATCCTACTGTTAAGCGTAGGTTCCAGCTTCCCAGGGTCGCCCAGGGTGATCTTGGCAAGAAGTCATCAGGGCGTAGGGGTCACTGGGTCCTAAAATTCTTAGTCCAGTCACTTTCTTGGCTAAAGAGTCGGCAATGCGATTACCTTTACTCCTGTCGTGCTCTTCAACCCATCTCAGGATAATGTTATTATCTACCGAGGTTTTGGCTAATCTTGGTAGCACTCCAGTACTAGCCCTGAGGTAACACGTTGTCTGTTCGAAGCTAATAGGGCTTGTCTACTATCAGTGAAGATTGTTGTGTTTTTGCCAGGAATTCCTTTCCTGGTTATTTCTTTTGTGGCGATTGAAACACCGACCAGTTCTGTCTGAACCACGCTGGTATTTTTTCCCATTTCCCACTCAATCCTCAGGCTTAGTGATCTGGAGTAAACTCCACATCCTGAGCCTTCTTTGGTTTTTGAGCCGTCTGTATATATACCTATTGTGTAGCATCTGACTCTGTGTTTAGTTTCATTTGTATTTTGTAGGGTTTATTGAACACAAACCTAACCTAACCTTACCAAACGTACTGAATCTCATCAACCACTGACCACCATAGAGGAACTAGGGTCTTTTTTCAGTCGGTTTTCGCCTTTGGTAAGTGCCAACCACTGTCCTGAGCGTCTCCTGTTGTAAAGGATCCATTTTTCATCATGTAATAAATGACCGTCTGGTCTGAATTGGCGATCCCTATATAAGTACTACTATGAATATATAATAATCATCTCAGTATTTACTCGCACCAGAAAAATTCACCCCCCTGTATATGGGATCGTTCAGCCAAAGGTATTTATTTTCTTAATTTAGTTTGGTAGCGTGAGAGTTGCTGCCACCAGATCAGNTTCATTTTATCATGTCGTTAAATTTTGAGCTCATAAGATAAATTGCGATATTTATTATACGTTTGAGTGTTTTCTGACTTTTATTCTAAATGGGGTATACAGACTGGATGACATATTTTCGACCCTTAACGAAAGATAATGAAATGAATTATGGGGTTGAATGTTACAAAATATCGAATTTCTTAGCATCAAGCAGTTAGTTTTAACGACTTTTCCTTTAAATGGCTTGGTTCTGTTGGCCTTAAGGTTATTTCTGAAAGATGATAAGGTTCCCTTTTCATACGAAAACACATGTGTTTTGGTATCTAAAATTCAACTAAAAATGTAATAAATCCAACTTATTACAATCAAATGTGACGATCCGATCCAAAGAAGGGTCGTTTTGTTTGGTTGCGCAAAAGCAACGAAGAACATACATTGAAACGTGACAATTTCTGTCGATCGTTCCAATCGTGGGGCAACCACTTTTCGAGCTTTTTGACCTTTCCAATAAGTTACAAACCATCAAAAACCGTATGAGAGCTGACGCCCAGTTCTTCCACCATCCCACGCACCGTTTCTGATTGGTCAGTCTTCAACAGGGTCTTCATATCCTCGTCCTAGATTACTGTAGGTCGACCACTTTGGGGCTCATCTTTGAGTTTGAAACTCCGAGAACAAAATTTTGCAAACCATCGTCCAACATCAACACTATCATTGATTGCCATATGTCTGGTTAATTTATGGGGCTGTTTAGGCAGCGTATTGGTTCAATTTGAATTTGTAAAGAAAAATTGGTCGAAAATCGCTCAACGATATCATATTATCATATAATAATAAACTGAAAGGAAGCAAAAATTTGTAAAAAGTTAACTGCACAAAATTCTCTATCGATCAGTATATACCACAACACAGTAGAATAATTATTTATTGGAAAATATAGCTATAAATGAACTCATAGACCTTCGTCATTCAGATATCCTGGTAAGTGCTGAATATATCTCCTCTGGATCCTAACAGGATGATTGTTGGTTTGGACGAGTTAATTTCTTCAGTTGTATTTCAATAGCCGTGCTTGTGTTTTTCCATTGATCTATAAACAATGGCCTGAGGACTCTTACCAATATCCACTGGTTCCAATTGATTTTTAAAGATGCATTTCTAGGAAGTAATAGGTGTAACTCATTTCAAATATAGATTGATTTGAACATTTCTTCTCCACTTCTTTCATTTCACATAAATAGAGAGTAATGTAGGAGAATGAAAAAGAGGATATTTCAGAAAAAAATCTTTTTGGCTCTCTGCTTCTCCATCAATATATAAGAAAATGAGCATTTCCAGAGAAAGAAAGAAATAAAATATCAGTTGAAAATCCTTTCGAAAAAGTAGATCAGGCACAAACTTTCTTTCAACGTCGAACATTCCTAATGGAATTTTTGAAATATGAATCACTGGTCATCCCCAGAATGCCGTAATTGTATTTTCATGAAATAAATGGGCTTTATTCATTGACATACATTGTTTATAAAGAAGAAGTAGATGTGAAAATCAATGAAAGGTCGGAGTTCAGTCGAAGCTGTTTTACAACTCAACCCAGGGGATAGCATGTTTCATATAGAAATATAAAAATAATTACCTAGTATATATTGGTAAGTGAGTAGTTTATGAATCTTTGTGAAATAGAGTTTTAAGAAGTCTAGCATTTCTAAAACTTCTACTCAAGCTTTGTATATAGGAGTTTTATGGCTTTGGCTTTATCTAATTTCTCCTCAGCAATCCTCAGCATTTTTTTGTCTTTTCAATATCAAATATTAACAATTCTGTCTCTCTTCTCTCTACATATATTTGTGTAGGAAGATAAATTAAAAACAATATCAATCTTCAGAAGTTTTTACACAAAACTTCGGGCTAGGAATTGAAAATGGTAGCTATATCAGTAAACTGTTATTGAGACCATAACCATTCGCAGTTTCCAAGAAAAAGAATAAACATTCATTCTAGGTATATATTAGATATCGTTTATATCAGAGCTCAAAAGCAAAGTCTTCGTGATTTAACACCAAACAGTGCTGTTTCGTTAGCGCAATGTGCTAGGCGAAAACACGAATGTCCTCATCAAACGGCAACCTATTTCAGCGAGCATGAAGCAAGCTATTGAATATTTATGAAAATATTGATCTTCATAACTTGTGACCAGGATATCACAACTGAATTGTTATGTAAAATTAAATATACATTCCTTTTATTTCAGAACCTCCAATCAGTTCACCCCACTGTGAGCGTTTGTACGGTATTTTTGCTGACGAAGCGAAATGTGACGTCTTCTGGAATTGCTGGAACGGAGAATCTTCCAGATACCAGTGTTCTCCTGGTCTTGCCTACGATCGTGAAGCTCGTGTCTGTATGTGGGCTGACCAAGTGCCAGAATGTAAAAGCGAAGGTATTCTATTGATCATTAAGAAAATTTAGAGCCGCCATAAATTTCACTTTTATATAGCTTGGTTTGGAAATTGTGTGTTCATCAATAGTCAGTAGTTTGGCAAATACTTTTTGAATATTTGCTCACTAACTGCTTCATTTGAAGTCTCCAACTTCAAGGTCACTTTTTGATAAATTGCTCAGATATTTGGTGACAGTTTTCCGTCATATTTTAGCTCTAACTGTTAGTGCTTCAACGAACTAACTTCAAACTCATCATCATCATCATTCATCACAGTCTCATTATGACTTGTCGACCACGAAATTCAATTTTAAACTGAGAACCAAAAAAAAACCGATATTGTCTCCTGAAAATCTCAATTCGTGAATAATCAGTTGTAATCTACGATGATTAGTTTTCGACTAAGTATAAAGTATCAATCAATGAACCTGAAGAACCTGTCAAAATTAATGTTACATGACTCTCTAAAGAAGCACAAAATTTAATAATTAAGGTTTGTGTCTGGGCAGTGTTATCAAAACTTTTTAGGATAGAAAATGAGCAGTGTTTGAGTCAGTTCAAACTCAGAAAATTTCATTGTTGATGGAAATAACGTAAGCAATAAATTTTGGTTTAAATTGATAGGATGCTCAAAATATGAAACCAGAACCTTCTCATTCACTACCAGGCTATTATAAAATCATTATCACTCTATGTGATATTTCTATTATTGAGTATTGGATAATTTCAACGATACCAGTTTTCAAATTATCTAAATTGCTTCATAACAAAAAGCTAATATTCGGTCTGAAATATTCGTTACCAATCAAGCCATCAAGAGCCATCAAGAAAATAAACATACACATATAGCATCAAAAAATTGGCTAATATCACAAATGAGTTCAAGATGCCATAAAAAGCAGAAATCAATGCCATTATTTCAGATTTTACGACCTTGTTAGGCATTCCATTGTTCCACGCCACCTAAACATTGATTATTTGAAAAATTTTATCAGAAAATGACAACAATTTGATTTCAAAATGATTTTTTATAATAACGGATCAAATCATCTGTTAACTAAGTATTTACTGCTGAATACTTTTATTAAAGATTATGCTGTTGGCTTCACCTGATTCGGACATGTTTGAAAGTGGTTTGTCCATTTCGATTTCTTTCCATTAAAAGGGATTTCACAACATCATTTCTTTATTAACGCGGTGCAATCAAAACCAAACAAACGTGACTTTGGGGATGCCCGCTCTTCAACAATTAAATGTAACGACATTTTTTCCTGACTAACATATATTATCCATTGACATTATATGTTGGTTCTTTGGACACTTGCAATTCCTTTTCTTCTTCTTTATTACTGATCCTTTTTGAATCTTGTCTTCGTCAATCAGATACTCTGTTGAATGAAACTTACAGAAATGCAATTTATTTAGTTTCAATAACGTAAACTGACTCATCTAAACTTCAATAAATCGATGTCAAATCAGAAAAATTTTCAAGCAATTACTCTGTGGTACCTAATTGCTTGAAAATGCCTATTGTGTAGGGCATAAAGCTTTTAATCATCACCAAGTGAATTTCTACTACTTGGAAAACTGCTGATGCATTCAATAATTTTGAAACATTCGAAACATCCCAACTTCTGAAGTAATAATGTGTGATAAACTTTATTAAATGTCGGAGCAATTAATATATCCTTTTGGCCAATAAGAAAATTAGTATTTGTTGGAACGTTTAAATCAGACTAATCTTTCAAGATAATCTGAGATGTTTTTGAGTAAGTTGTGGCAATTTTATTCTTCTACAATTCATTACATTATTTTTCTCCCAAGATTTGGGATTCGGTCTGATAAAATAAGTTGGTCATAACACACGACATTGTAACATTCAGCATTTTTTCAAGAGATAATTATAAACTACTCAAAGTGAATATAGAGACATGTCCTTATATTGGGTTGATAGAAAAAACACGAGTTTCAAATTCCTCATGAAAACTTTTTTGCAATGATATTAAATACGATGTTTTTTCATATAAAAAAATGAACTAGCACTGCTGGGTTTCAGTCACGTGACATTCACACTGAATCAAATTATGATACCTATTGGTCATAGGTATATCAGTTTTTCTCTAATATCCAGAGACCTTCTGTTTGTATTGACTTTCAATATTTTCATCTATTAGAGAAATACTGCGAATGGAGCTTCAATATAACTTACCATTCCTAAGCTAAGAAAAAATTACACGGTAATCATTAACAGTCGAATTCAAAATGACAGGAGACGAATCACTCGACTGCAAGCACTCAATAATTGGCAAAACAATTGGCTATTTGCAAAGTGAACCAAATTATACGAAAATGTCCCAACCAATTGGCATTTGGACAACGACAGACGGACCCCCCCCATCCTTAACCATCACTTGTTTATTTACAGAAGTTGCAGGAGGTTTTTCATGTCCCGCTGCCGGAGAAATTAGCACAGTTGGTTCTTTCTCCCGACATGCCCATCCAGAAGACTGCAGGAAGTACTATATCTGTCTAGAAGGCCAAGCTAGAGAATATGGTTGCCCCATCGGCACCGTTTTCAAAATCGGTGATGGTGACGGTACCGGTAACTGTGAAGATCCTGAAGATGTACCCGGATGGTAAGTTTATTCGAAGCAGTTGGGAAAATGTACCACCAAAGTTTTCAAGCTTTCGAGCATGAAGAATCAGTTTTCTGCTGTCGGTTTTTACTCCAAAACAATTCCTCAAAGATGAATAACTATAACTCGTCTCAGAAGTTCATCAACCTACCTACCATCAAGTTTTTCATAAATATATTCATTATTTGATGACATGTTTTGAGATCTCAAGATCAAGATTATTCGTTTTCTAAATTCTAAAACAAGAAATTCTTGATTATAGAACTTCTGAGACATGTAACATTGAAATGTTTCATACCGATTCGGGCCAAACTCTTTAACGAATTTCATCAAATCCTAATCAGTGTATATAATGTTTTTTTTTCTTGTTCTTCTACACATAACTTTCAAATAACATTTTCCATTAATTATTTCCACGTGCATCTTGTAATATAACACCTCTGTCTAAAGTTTCATTTGAAAAAGGTATCACAAAGAGAAAATAGTTGTGAATGCTCGACTGGTATTTTTCAAATGAAATTTCTCTTTTCAATCTACTTCTTGGGTTCTTTTGAAATTAAACTACTTCTACGTGGGGCATGTTTGTATTTATTAATACAACTCTCATCGAATATAGTTAATTACTAGCATGCTATGTTCTTGTTGATACATAGAATTGTTTGCGTAGTTATATACTACTACGTTTCTGGATTATCTACAAGTTACAAATGACCTTGGGTCATTTTTAAGTCACATTAATGGCTTATTATTTGGTGAAATTGCATTTGTTCAGTTACATTCTCCTTTATTTCAAAAGAGTTTTGAGATACCATCTTGGTAATAAATGATGAAATACCTTCTTATCCCCGTTAGATACCCAGTTGATGGAACTCTTCTTATTGCATCGTTCTGCTACTTCTTGACATCTCGGACCCTTCCACTTCCTGGACTTACTCTCTTCATTTACAAAAAGACTTCATTTACTGCATCCCCAAAGGTATTTTACGTAACCTTATCCAATTCGAGCCTGGAATACAAAAACTTTTTACACCTGATGGGTTTTCTAGAGAGCAGTTCCTTGATGTCAAAGCCTTAGGCCTGTAGCAAACCGTAGCTTGGAATTCGCCAAGGAATTGTTTTTCAATTTCGGTGGCAAACCGCTTCGGTGGCAATCATTATCACCATTTTACGAAGGTGAAACCTCAGTGAATACTGAAGGTGAAACCTGTTTTTTTTAATCATATAAGTCGTTCAGTTTTCTTCAGTCCACAGCTTCCTGAAAAAGTAAAAACAGTGGTTACCTACTGCCAGAAGTAGTAGCCAACTACCTCTCCGAACAGTAAACTTCCATACAGTATTGGCTCCCATTATAAATTGTTTTAATGGCAGCCATAGTATGTTCCGCTTGGTTATAGTTATCAGTAGAAATAGTATAACTGAATATAGGGAAAGTTGATGAAAGCTGACGAAGCTGTTGACTCGTACTATCACCACTATTATCCCAAGGTCGCATTCAACACTTCTAGTGTTTTTTGAAGTCAAGCAATCACGTTCAATAATGAATGTCACTATGTCACGTAATCTATCGCTGATCCTTCTCTATTCCTCCAAATTCCACCGAATGTTTGACTCTGGTAATTCTCAGAATCCCACTGCACACCGAAAATTAAATACTCATCTACAAGCATAGGTACTAGAAGAATAAAATGGCTACCAGTACTGGCTACTATACTATTTACCGCCAATACTGTCACCCCGTTTGAAGGATGCTGAATGATCAGTTGCAGGAAAATGAATATTGAATCTGTACTTATCCCGGACATCAGCTTCCACTGTCTGTAATTGCCTTATACTCTAGCATCCACTTCAAAGTTATTCACTACTCTCGCTCAAACTCAAGTCAGCTTACACTCGTAAGCTTACACTCGTAAGCTGACTTGAGCAGTTATATGTTATTGTACTTTGGGTTTTTCTTTCGAAGTACTCTCTCGGGTGGTAGCTTTAGGGAGTTTGGAGAGTTTCAATCTCATCCCTGTGAGTACCACGTGGAACAATCGGTTTTCTGTACGAATGTAATTCAATATAACTGTGTCTGGAACAATCTAACTATTTGACGACTCTTAATAACCAATTTTGAGTTCATCTGGAATTCTTACACATTAGCTGTCTAGTGAATACTAACCTCATTGAATTCACATTAGAGCAGTTCATACAACTGTTAATTGAACCATGATTCTTGCCGGTGTATTCATAAGTTTCCACAAAAGATCCATGAATATTAGGCTTTGGTCATTTCTATTTATTGTTGATAGGAAACCTTTGGAAATGAAATCATCGTAACTCAATGCTAAGTAGTCATGTGGCTCTATCGGGTTACCAAAATCTTTGGTATGGGACCAGATCTGAAAATGATTTTAAAAAAATATCAAATTTACTGGAAAAATATACCCAGCGATGAACTCGGAGGAAACTTAATGAAGCAACCATCCCAAAAAGAGTACTGAAGAACTGCTTCGATCAGTTCAGAATAATTACAGGGCTACTCACTAGATTGAAAGGTCACCTGAACAAAATAGGAATGTATAGTGGAGACCTTAACTGCAGGCAAGGCCACAAATCCACAGAGACAGCTCGTCATGTTGCAGTAGCAAAAAAATTATCTGGCAACACGTGTCTTCTAGAAAAAACAACAGTCGATTTCAATTCTCAGACTTCAGGATCTGAATCCACTCTGTTTTTATATCGTTCATGAATAATGACTTTGATAAGCTGCCCAACATTTTCACAGTGATAACTCTGTCTTTTTGGAGTTTTTACAGCAGGAAGTAATTTGTTTGTTGCTGTTATGCGACATTGCCAAGGATGAATGTTACTCCTCTCGGCTACTCTCTATATTTATATATGTTCCTTGAAGATAGTGTTTGTATCAACACAAACAATTTCAAATAAATCCGCCAAAGTTTTTTGGAAAGTTTCAGAAACTCCAGTGTTTTTTTTTTGAGAAATCCAAATTCGTAACAATATTTTACCTATTTGACATTATGTAAATATCATGTAGGTAAGTTTATTTTGTGCACAAATTTTCATATTCTTCAATAAGTACTGGTTTTTCTGCTGTTTGAGTGAAATCTAATTTTCTACTAATCTATTATAAAATTAACAATTAATTTTTTTCTAATTATCAATATTTAAATATTTCCAACTTCTCAAGTAGCTTCAGATGTTGAATCAAGAATTGATGCAACTAGAGAATCAACAGAGAAAAAATTCATTCTGAAATTCATAAAAATTATTTATTTATTTTTTCATCTAATAACAATGTGCCAGTTTCGAAACGTGTAATGAATATAAATAAAATAATGATAATGAACTATTCAAAAGAGATGAATCTGATTATTTCATGTATTGAAAATCTCAATTACCGTTCTAAACTGAAATCCTCCTCCACAGCGAGGACTATTATGGAGACTTGGACTTGAAGAGCATCCGCAAGAGCGAACTTTTGGCCGGCCTCAATAGCAGCGGGTCTTCCAGGGCCGCACCCGCCCCCAAAAATCAAAAACCCAGGCCCGCTCCAGTATCGCGTAATTCTCCAGAGCCGTCGGCTAACTAGATTCATTTAAATTTCGTAGAAGATCGTAATGTACGAAATTTCCGACGTTTCGTTGAATTCTCGTTTTCCCTTCAGACGGTCGACGAGACGATTTCCGCTCTCATCCCCATTTTACTTATTTAATACTTAGCGATTATTGTAGCGAATTCGGAATTTGTTTCGTCGATTGTCTGAAAGAGGGAATCGAACAATGTAAAAAATGAAGAACAAAGTTTTTGGAAAACTGTTCTCTGTTCGTTTCGTAAACGGTACAAAAATTACTTTCTATTTTATAAATATTGAATAAAAACGTTTTCATAAAATGGTTTCTTTTTAATATCACCTGTCCTAACCTCTCTGTAACACTTGAAATTAGTTTCATTCATAACTTTATGTTTCATCTTTCTAACGGTTAGAATTTCTTCTAATTGGTTCATTCTCAGGTAGTGGTTTGGTGTAAATGATTTACTAAGTTACTGAAAAATTTGAAATCTCCATTTCAAATTTGTAAATTTAGTGTTAAATTTGAAATTTGTCAGTAGGAATATTTCGTTGATTAAACAAGTACGATCAATGGAAAATTTTAAATTATTTTTAGAAGATAGCTAGTTTCTGTGTTTTATTAAAAATATCCATTAAGTGTTGTTAGCAATCGAAGATTTGATATTTTTTGTTATTCTCAACATTTTATGAAGGAAACCTTTGATATAAAAAATGCATTTCTATAGCTCTCAAGTATTAGTATTATCAGGAAACTAATTATTTAAAGCCATGATGTAGGTATTTATATCAATCATATACCTATATATCTGATAGGTAGGCATTTACTAAGGTACCTACCTATTTTTCACCCTCCTGGCAAATTGTTAATGAATATCAAATTGAAATGGGATATTTCTAGGAAAGATTAGTTTTTGGTGAAAGAAGATTTTAGCTTTCTACTTCCCCATAAACAAAAAAATTGTGAAAAACTTCCAAAGAAAGGAACAGTCCAATTTTGAAATGAACTCCTTACAAAGAAGTATCTTACATATAAAAACTATGTAATTAAATGTTTATATGAAAGTACTTGTTCAAGATGACTGAAAGTTACTTCTTTGCATGATCCATACATCTTTGTAGAGAGTTCGCTTCAAATTTACTTCCTTTCTTTGTGAGTTTTCCACATTTTTTGTATGAAAAAGTAGAAAGCCAAAACCTTCCCTTCTCAAAAACTAATATATTTTAAAAATATACCTATCCCTTTCAATTCAATACAATTTCTTCATTTATTTGGAAATATTTCTCACTGGCAACTTTCAAGTTTAACACAAGGTAAATAAACATATATGGTAAGTGAAATTACATATTTCCTAATCTATGGTGGTCCGAAAAATCCTTTCACTCAATTCATTTTATATATACTTATATATTCGATAGATTTGTTGTTCAACCATGATTACAAAAAACTTATTTTTTGTGAATTCTTCTTTTTAATTCTTCCAAGGATAATTTTATTGAGAAAACAATAATGAACAAAATTCATATTTCTTAGAAAAACCTTCATTGTTTATTTTTTCAGCGAGGATTATTACAAAGATGTTGATCTAAAGATGCTCAAGAAGCTGGGATACTGAGACACGAAAAAAAAATCCTTGATTTAAAGGAAACATAACATCAACCATTGGGAAAATACCTAGTTTGAAAATGTTTTTTTTAATTTTGAAAGTCCTTCATCGCCATTCGCCAAGATTATTTATTATATGTCGTTATTCACGAATCTTGAAATGTTATGATCTTTTAGTCAGTTCAATTTGTATCGTTTTTCAGCTTTTCAGTTATTTAACGAATACTTTTTGATTTTCACTGGTGGTGAAATTTTCAAACAATAGAATATCCAAGGAAACTGTCAAGGATTATTTTAAAATTGTGCTAGGTACTTACTAAAATAGGGTTTATTGCATTGTTAAATCAATAGAAAAATGCATGTCAGCTGATTCGACAAAATGGGAAATGCACCATTGTTTATATTGAACGTTTTTGAATATAGGATTATGTTGTTTTTATTTTTTAAGTTATTCTGTTCAGTGATATAAAAAATATAAAAACAGTTTTGTTTTCAATAGCCTATAGGTACCTACCCATATAGATTCTCAACGTATAGCAACTATGAAATATTCGTAGTAATATCTCAAAGTCAAGGTATTTGACTCCTATGTTTCCCTTTGGTAATGAGTTGGTGATATCATTCTCAGAATGATCTCCACCCAGATCATTCAAAGAATGATAACCACCCCCCAGAAAAGTGAAAAAATGATTACGAAAAATAAACGAGTATCCCAACAGAAAACCCCTTTATGAAGCTAAGCTTACAAATCGAGCACCAAATGAGAAATCTCTTGCTGCAGTGTTTACTGCAAATATTGCCTTTTTCTTCTCTCAAATCTTAACATTATCCGTCTTACTATAAAACAGTCAAGAAAATTCAGATAGCTCCCATTCCTTGGCTTTATGTCTATCACCCTCTAAGATTACTACACTCAATTCAATTGTTACTGTCATATTTTAGCTTGCCCAAACTCCGAACTAGTCTTTGAAATAACTAATTTGGAACTATTCCAACGTATTTTCTTTCAAGACGAGAATATTTCAGTATACACGTTTTCGCATTCTATGCAAACGCCACTAGCCCCTGGATTAATCGATGTGATGTCACAATACGTTAGACAACCTCACTCTTCTGTTCCACTGGCAGCTTTCGCTCTTTTCATATGCTTGGCAATGAATGTAATAATTCAACCAGAAAGCGTACAAGAAATGAGTAAGTACATATCTACAAAAAGAGAATATTCAAGACATAGAAATATATAGTAAGAATATGACAAACTGATAAGAACCTCGGCAACGTATCGCGCGCCTCAATCGTCCTACCGATGAGAGGACTCAATGTGGTTGATAAATTTTAGTCCACTGATTCAGTAAATGACCGACCAACACCCGTACGTCTTCGAAACGCAAGATCTGACTGAAACATCGCCGCTGTATATGAGAGTGTGCAGGAGATTCCGAAGTAGTCGATTTCTCGTCGCCCACAAAAACATGGCCTTTTGCAGACCGAAACTTACTTGGCGAATTTTGCGTGGTAACTTGGGCCTGCACCTGTACAAAATTCGACTGACCCAGGAACTGAAGGTAAATGGCCATAGAAAACGACGTGTATTATTCGCTGAATGGGCTGAGGGCATGGTCGTCTCACGTGGATGAGGTGATATTAAATGACCACCAAGATCGTTCGATTTGACCCCGTTAGATTTTTCTTGTGGAGTTTTCATAAGTCGCAGGTATGTATGCGAATGAGTCACAACATCGGTCTTAAAGCCAACATAACTTATGACATCGGTCAAATTCAATATGATTTATGAGTCAAAGTAATGGGAAATTAAACGTTTCGGATGCGCTCCAGCCATCGAAGCCGTGACGGACTTTTAAACGATGTTATATTCCACACATAACGACAGCAACAGGTCTTTCAAATGAATAAAAAAAGTCGATGAAATCTAACATACACACTTTGTTTTATTCAAATTCAAATATTGGAAGCGCTTAGGTAATGAAAGACCCTATAGGCATAAGTTTAACTTCAGATGGAAAGAAGGCAATTGTTGTAAAAGTAAATGAGAACTGAAATGGCACTCTAAAAAACATTAAAATGGAATAGAAAGCTTCTTAAAACATTTTCTTTTGGTAAATTATCATTAGAGGTTGCACTTGAATAATATAATCATTTCATAACGAAGCCATTTTTCGAAAAAAAGCATAGCCAGGTATTGTTTAGAAACAGTTTATCAACCTATATATTACCAGTTTCGAAACGTGTCAACCGTAGAGCTTTGTACACCACTTTTTCGCCGAATGAATGATGAATGCACCTTTTATCTGAATGGGCAAGTAATTGGTCAACATTTCTGATACTGGACAGATTCAGATCCCAATACGGTACACGCCAATTATGCACCCAATACCCCCAAAAAATTAATGTTTGAAATCGAATCCAAATATGTTGAAGAGCAGTTTCATTTTGCTGAATAATTGAGTCACGCCAAGCATTAACAGTGCCATCCAGTGATATACTATATTGTGAAATGTGTTGTTTTCCAAAAAGATACGGGTCTCCTTATTAGGTTGCATTGCGACAGTTCCTCGATAATAACTTTCCGAGAAGAGGTTCTACAGAACAACCACCCAGATCGCCCGATTTGATTTCACTAGATTTTTTCTACGGGGATATTTGAAATCAAGTCCACGTCTTAGACAACTACTGTAAATTATGTTCAACTTTTTGTTGCAATTGTTCAACTATTTGTATATACCTAGTTGAATACGTTCGTAATCGAAAGAGGAAAATGAAGTTGCGCGATTACTTTTTATTTATCAAAATTGACAACTACTTCAAAATAAAAATTAATCTAAAACACGTCTACAAAGCACACTCAAAATTAAATGAAACAGTTAAATACAGAGCTGACTAAAAATCAATCATTTCTAACAAATTATCCACGAGAAGAATTTTCCAGGAGCTGTAAATATTCTCCAGAATGTAATGGGGAAAACAGAAGCTTGTTTTCACCATGGTGCTCGGTTCGAACTCTTGTTTATATATCTATGGTTCGAACAGTTGGTGAAGTAAATTTTTCTGTTCAGTTACACTTTCTAGTTCGAACTTAAATTAAAACTTTTTTTTCTCACATTGCTCATCGTTTTAATGACAAAAATGTTACAGGTTTGGATACAGAATTGAAGAATGAGAATGAGGTATCATTCAAAAGGTTATTTTTTTCGTAGGGATGTATCCCTCTTTAAACTAAAGTTGAAGTGCTCGCCAATTAAGAAAGAAATCTAATCCTTATAGTAAGGATTACAGTCAACAAATACTTCAAGTATGAGTAGGTAATCATGTAGCAATATTTATAAGTATCTACCATCTTCTCAGTGTTAGCTTTAAATAATACTTGATCCAACAGAAAATGGGAAAATTTGAAATGCCAAGCTGGGACAGGTAGTTACTGATGGGTACGGAAACCTACACGGAAAAATTTTCTTGAGATCTCTCCTTGGTTTTCTGTAGAATGCAGAGCAAGCAGGCAAGGGAAGAAGATTGTTTATATAAATAAAATACTCAGATTCTGATTTGTTTTTTCATGAAATTGTTTATTGTAGAGCACCAAGCGTTAAGCTAAATGTGATAAGTAGAGAACAGCTCAAATCACAGAAAAAATTGAAAAATTTAAGCCTTAAATTAGAAATGAACAGATAGAGCAATGAAAAAATCTAATACAGAAATTTGCAAGTAGTTTCTAGTGGTTTGTTGCCTCCTATGGAATTGTAAATGCAAAATTATATGATTGTATTTATTTTTGGTCTCAATTCCACAAAATTCCACTGTCTTTTTTTCAAAAAATCAACCTGAATCTTTCAAGATAGAATGAGAAAATTAGGGCCTCAATTAGAGTAGTTGGAAGAATGTTGGGTAGAAGAAACTTTGGAAATACTTATACATGGCATGTCCTAACAATACCTACAGTATATGAATATAGGTTGACGGAAACTAAGCATTTCATACCCTGGCAAAGGAGTAATAAATCAGAACCATTTTTCATAGAATTTAAAAGTATGTTGTAACTATGATAATAATAATATAAATATAATGAATTTTATTTCATGTTCAATATTAATGTTTACCAGTAAGATCACTCTTCTGTATCATTTGATACTTTCAAACTCAATAAAATTTAAAACAAACTACACAAAATTGAAATGCAAATTTGACGGTATTCATACTTTATTCATAAATAGAAGTTTTCAAAATCCTAAAATCCAAACTAATCCAATATGACACTGTGCTGATACTGCCCAACATCATTTTCTGTGTCATTTTCTTCTTTACAATTTTTGCTGTTAGAGGTATGGTGTCGATGAATGTGCCTCCTCAAGTTACTTGAATCGTGGAATCCCTTCTTACAAGATGTGCAGATGAATGGTTTTTCTCCTGTGTGCTGGCGTAGATGAACCTTTAGAGTACTGTTATATGCAAATGTTTTACCACAAAAAGAACAAATATAGGGCTTTTCGCCACTGTGTATCCTAGAATGTTCCTTGAGATGATTGGACTGAATGAAACTTTTGCTACAGGTTGAACATTTGAATGGCTTCTCCCCAGTGTGGGTCAAAATATGATTATTCAATCCACTTTTCTGATGAAACTGCTTGTAGCAGTGTGGGCACTTGAAAGGTTTCATTCCAGTATGCGTTCTCATATGAACATCTAGGTATGCCTTCAGAGTGAATTTCTTGTCACATATGGTACAAGGAATGTTTCTTTCGTTGACGTGGGTCAGTAAATGGTTGTCCATTACCGACTTCTGGTGAAACGATTTGGAGCACAGGGGACACTGAAACACCTTCTCTCTAGTATGAGTCAATAAGTGACGCTTCAAGTCATTGCTCTGTACGAAACTTTTGCTGCATTCTTTGCACTCGTATGGCTTGATTCCAGTGTGACTCCTTATGTGTCGATCTAGATGAGAATTTTTGATGAAGTTTTTACCGCAGTAGTTGCACAGAAATTTTTTTAGTTCACGTTTTTTCTTGTGCATTCTTGAATGGTTTGAGAAGGCAGCCTTTCCATAGAATATCTTATCACACAACTCGCATTTCATAGCTGACTTTTTTTTCATCTTTTCCTTTTTATATGGGTTTTCTTCTACTTCCTCATCCCAAACCATTTTCAGTTTATCATCACTACTCGGAGGGGTTGAACAGTTTTCCTGCTCGAATTCATCATCGCAGGTTTCATAGAGCTCTTTCTTATCTGGATAGAAGGTTTGATCATATTTTTCTTCACATCTTGCAGCGTATATATTGTTCAACATTGTTTCTGTATTTTTACATTTTTCTGAAAAAATCAGTAAGTCCTCCAGCTGTGACGCACAACCAGTGCATATATTTTGGGGTAATTCTGCGTTGAGTGATTCCTAAAAACTTACTTTGCTTTACCATAAGATAAAAAATTGTTCCAGAAGTGATAAGTTGTCCTTTTTACCTCATTATGTATTAAATGATTATAAAATTCAAATACTTTTTTGGGGAATTCTTGAAGATTTTCATCAATTAAACAAACACGGCATATTAATGTAAAATCTTTGTAGAATATTTTAGCTTCGATTTCCATTTTTTGTAACTTGCTCCTTTTTTAGTTATCAGTGATATAATAAATATGGACTGCACATTGAAGAGAGAACATTGTCTCCAACAACTGAAGACATTCAAGTCCTGGCATTTACGTCACTCCTACACTTGACGTCAAAACGTCACGATGTTTCATGTGTTTCATATTTCCATGTAAAAATTTTGAGATTTGATTTGTCACATGATGCTGTGACGCAGTGGCCAAAACCTTGTGTGATTCACAGGTGGAATATATTTGAAAGTGACATCACGCCCAGTCCATATATTATCATGTCTACGATAGTTTTAATGAATTCAACAGATGTCAAATTCTCAGACTGACACGGTCATAGATGTGCGCCATAAGAACTATGACCATGAAACCACAGAATATTGACTGTCATAGAATTAAAATACAAAGTTTCATTTCTATGACTCTGGCCCACTTATAAAAAAATTGGAAGTAGAGAACATTTTGAGAAATAAATTAAAATCCACAATAAATTTAATGTACTAAATTTCTTCAAAGGGTTTTGAGACAAAAAAGGAGTATCAATACTGGGTCTGAAGGACAGACTTGTAGTAGTATGTAATTTATCACAACTAGAAATACATTTAGAAATCTGCCAATCATTGGCATTGTTGAAAAAATTATCCCCCAGAATAAAAAATGTTATATAAATAAAACTTATTGATGGCTGAAAAATTGAAAGATGAATGAAAAGCAGTGCAAACAATGTTATTATTTAATAAATGTAAAAAGTATCTGTACAATGATGAAATCACAAGTGTTCCCTCCCTTATACCCTCTACCTGAAAGTAGAGAAAAGTTGTGCAGAATGGAAACTTCATGAAGGATTTCTCACAAAAGGGGTCAAAACTGGAGGATTACCAGAGAGTGATTGATCAGAAGTTGTATGATTTGAGGACCTCTGAGGTTGATTACTGTGCCCCACAATTACTTCCTCGGCACCCTCACTGCTGCCACCCTTACTCTGACCAGTGTGCACCAACACGTGGTTAGTTAATGACTGTTTTCTGTTGAATTGTTTCCCACAGTGTTGGCACTGAAAAGGCTTTTCTCCTGAGTGAATCAAGAGATGGTCTCTTAAAGTTGTACTTCTGACAAACTGCTTCCCGCACTGATTGCATTCGAAGGGTTTCACTCCTGTATGCATGAGCTTGTGGCGCTCCAAGTGGTAGCTGGATAGAAATCCTTTCCCACAAAACGTACACAGGTGAGGCTTGTCCCCAGCATGCCTTCGCATGTGATAGCTAAGATGGCTTGACTGGGTAAAGGATTTCTGACATACCTTGCATTTGTGGGCTTTTATGCCGGTGTGAGTCAGTAAATGTGTTTTCAAGGTGTCTTTCGTAATATAGCACTTTCCGCACTCCTTGCATTCGAAAGGTTTAACTCCTGTGTGACTCAGAATGTGCCTTTCCAAACCGTTTTTCCTGGTATAGTTCTTGCCACAATAGTTACACAGAAACCTCCTCTTTCCTTTCAGCTTACGGCCTTTCACAAACTCCGGTTCCTCATCAGATTCTGCTTTAATCTTTTTAAACCGCCTTCCCTTTTCCTTTTCGAGATAATCCACAATATTCACTAGACTCTGATCAGTTACAAAATCTCTTGGTCTACAAGTTACAATTTCATTATAATGTTCAAGAAGAGCCTTCTCCGATGCAAAGTTTTCTGTACAGTTCTCACAACTCACTGGATTTTCTTTTTTAAAGTTGTCTATATCAGGTTCGGCAATGATTTCTTCTTTTACGTTTTCTTGATGAAAAGGTTTATCAGAATAGTCACTGTCACTTTCATTTTTAACGTCATTGAAATCATTATCGTCGTTTTCGTTTTCAACAGCTAATGCCTTCTCAAGTTCTTCCAGTAAAACAGCTCTTAGAGTTTCATCATTGTTTTTACAGGTTCGAATGAAGTTTGAAATGATTTCCAGCTGTTTGATACATTCACTACACATATTTTCTGGCATCCTATCTTCCTCTTTCACCTACAAAGATTGAGAAAATTATTCATATAATCTGTCTCCTAGCTGATGTAGACAATTATAATTATTTTTTACCTCAATATCAGTAATAGTGGAAAATATTCTCAGAACATCCAATTTCAGGATAGGAAAAAGGTCACCACAAGCTAAACAAAGGCGACAAATTTTCGGGAAATCGGCGAAAACAATATTGATATTCATTTTTAATATTAAAATTGTTTTTAGTTCGCCCCGATTAATTCTGTGTCAAATATTATCAAAATCAAAACACCACCCATTACCATCACCATCATACACAATTACTTCCTTCTGACTTCTGACATAGAACACAAAACAATATAATCAAAGAACACAGTTCTTTCATTGATCCCTTTTCATTAATTTCTATTTATATTTTCCATACCAATTTGTGAAAAAGACCATTCAATTAAATCCACAAGTTAGTTGGGTTGTTGAGCAATCTCATTTACCAAATATATTTCACATTTGAAAATCACTTTCCTTTGAACTAACGGTGGTGTGATGGATCGTTACTGAAACTTAGTTTTTACTATTATTGTTGATGAAGTGATCAATATTTTGAACAAAAAATCATTATTGATAATCAATTAGTGATATTTTTTGGTATCATAAGGAACCAGTTGGATGACGGTATCAATAAAAGTTTGACAAACATGTCCACAAATATTCGAAATCGCGTTTCATACTATTTTTTTTTTTTCGATTCTGTCGACTGAGAAAGAATAGAAAGTGGGAATTGGAATATGAATTCAATCCAAACAGCATAAAAACGACGAGAATGGTCATTTCGGTTTCGCAATCATAGCAGGAAAAAACGCAGCTAAGAGGTCATTAGGCACGAAATAGATGCGTGCTAACGTTTCTACTGGGTTAATTGATGAATCCATCGGATCAATCGTCGAACTCATTGATGATTTTGAGAATCCGTGTTTTGTTCGCACCAATTTTATTCCAGATCTGTCAGTCCTGACATAAGTTATTCGCTTTCTCTGTTCGATGTATGAAAATCGAAAAGATCGAATAACTTTCGATGGGAAAGGTAATAGATATTATAAATATTAGGTTCCATAAAAGCAATGGGAATGAGAACCTGTTGTAATCAATATTGTCAATATTCCTAAAAAGACCGTAAGTGGCGCTGACGTTTAAAAAAGTTATTCAAATTCAAGGTCAAATCGAATGTTGATGTATATTTTCAAATATAAATTAAAAAGAAGGCTTGGAGAAATATTTTCGCTTTCCAAGATTCCTGCGACCCATATCACATTTTTGAGAGAATAAAAAGTAATGTAGTAAATCGGCTCAAACTGCTGGAAATGCTGGAAGTTGATGTACGGAGGCAGTCAGCTGATCGATAGACTGGGCGGATGTCATGTGTCACCTTCTGTCACTTTTTATTTTTAAAATCTATCAAAACAATTGATTTGCCCTTAAATGAAAGTAGGACAAATTGAACAATAAAAATGTATAAACTTGCCTAAACCTCCCTTTTGCAAAAATGAATTTGCATCAAATAGTAAGCGGTGCTTGTAATGCGGGAGACAAATGTTTTGCCGTGGGGTCGGTGGAAGGGGTGCCGTTTACTGTAAGTCTTGAATCTACTAGTCATTTTCTCAATGTTTTAACATTGTGCTCTTTCAAGGCCTATGCAGCTGGCTGTAACATAGTCATATTGGCATCCACTTTCGAGAGGGTTCAGATTATTCCTGGCGCAATCCACGATTACATTCGAATTAGTTCAATTGACTGTTCTAGTGACACTGGAAAAATCGCAGCATCTTATGATGATGTAGTTTGCATTTATGAGCCGACGCCACTGATCCATAACAACTCAACACATGTATGTAGAATATGCAATCCCATACTTGTAATTGGTATATATGAGGTCAATATTTGCTTCAACGATTCTCGCTAGTTTTCAAAAAATCTTCGATCAGTCTAACATGGCACTCCTGTCTACTTTCGGAGACATGGCCACCCAAAAGTAGAGAAATTGACTACTCACACCTCACGGTGTGAGGAAAAAAAAAGGAAATCACACAATAATATGAAATACCAATATATAGCCCAAAATATATTAATGTGGGGTTCTTCTGTGAGGGCAAAACGTGTTTTTATTCTTCATAAAAGCTTAATTACAACTTTCTTTAATATTGCACCCAGCGACAGCTGTAGATCTGCTTTCTGAAAGAACAAAATACTAACATTACTGTGTATCTATATATATAAACCTCTGCTCCATCTGAAATTTAATGTACGCAATCTAAGAGACTAATCAATTGTTAATAACTATGCAATATGAAATACGACATATAATAACTATTCCAAAACATCAACATTCAAGGAATCTCTTGCGTATTATGGTATAATATTATTCAATACATTGCCTCAATATATTAAAAATTTGCATATTATAGCATTCAAAAAACAAATAAAGGAGCAGAGCAAAAAATTTACTTTTTTTAAAAAAAAAAGAATAGCATCAATTTTTCAAAATTCTCTATCGATCAGTATATACCACGACACAGTAGAATAAATATCTATTGAGATATAGAACTACAAAAATACATAACTTCGAAACAGAAGAAACTTTTGAAACAACCTAATATTTTTTTATGATTATGACAAATCACATATTTTTCACAGTTATTTGCCACAGGGAAATGTGTGTTGCACAATTATTTTGCATAAGCAAAGCAAACAAATGTTATGTATTTTGAGAAAGTAGCACAAAAAAAACTTTCGACCTAATTATATGTTGACTAATTGAATATGTATTTTCAGAAAATTCGTAAGAAGTTGAAATACAAGGTATTTACTGTGTGGCTACTCTTTGTTAAAAACAATTAATTTCTTCAATTAATTGTGTGTGTATTTTCCTAATTAATGACTTTACTCAGCAACTAAAACAATATAACGTGGTTTCCTGTCAAAATAATAACAAAAAATTGTATTCATTCTACAAAAAATATTGTTTTCTATCAGCATGCCTATTGTCTAGTTAATTACGAAATCTATATTATAATATGTCACTTGTAGGGTTTAGACTATAGGTGGGTGCAAACGGGCACGCTGAAAACTGACTCGCCTATTCGGGCTTTGAGCTGGAATTTGGAAGGCACTCGTCTTCTTACAGCTGGGGCTCATGTACAGCTTTGGCATTTGAAGTCTCAAAACACCGATGAAGAACAACCTCCTGTGACTTTCACTCTGGGAGGAGGACATCAAGATAACAATGAAGACGGAGATAGTCACGATATCCCAGATAAACCACAAGGTAATAATAAGAATAATAACTATGCTTCATTGTTATAAGATTGACTTGTTGACTTAGCGTGATAATAGGGTCCAAGTTTCAAAGTACAATAATACAAATTAAATATAGATTATCAAAGATTCAACAACTTATTGGCTAAAAAAATTAATTTCAAATAATACAAAAAATATTTGTGGCAAGCTTCCTGAGTAATTGAAAACAGATTGTGGAAATTAACAATCATTTTTCCTTTACAAGGCAGATAAATATAGGTGTCCCACAAGGTAGTGTAATTGGACCGCTACTATTTAAACTATACATGAATGACATCAACTGCTCTGCTAATTGTGAATTTATTAATCTTTATGCAGATGATATTATGTTGGCAATTAGTGGTGATTGTGTGGAGACCCCTGTTCAAAAAATTAATGAGGAATTAACTAACCTTGAAAAATAATTGAAGGGGAATAAGTTGAAACTCAATGTACAAAAAAAAAGCTATGATCATTTCTAATTGCAATAGGACAAAAATATAGATAAAGATAACATAACTTTAATCATAAAAAATAAAAAAATAGAAATTGTTAAACAATTCAAGTACCTTAGGGTTATATTGTATGAACATTTAACATACAAGGAACACTTTATATCAATCCAACTAAATATCTAAAAAACTACCGAAATCTATCATCTTTACATATAGAGGTAATTTTTCCAAAAATTAAAGTTTTTCCTGTTCCATTTTTTATACAGTGTTGGGTTAGAAAGTATCCCAGTGTCAATTAGTATCTTAATTTATAAAAGCCCTACAAGAACTTTTGCCAAATTACGCCCTAGTTAATGTTTTTCGGGCCTGGTGTGACAATGTCCCACAATCGGAAAAATGAATAATTCTAGATCAACATATAATTTGCTCAAGTATAATAAAGGGTGAACTGTATTGTTTTGGTGCCGAATGATCTCTTTCAAGACAGTGAAATACTCGCAGTACAATTTGTTTTTCTCTTACTGACCGAGACTCCGACCGTTTTACCTTTTTCGACGTGGAAGGCCCGACCATGTCTCCCATTTTTTGAGTAGTTTGAGAACGGTGTAGAAATATAATTATGTAACGCTTAAACACTTATTAGCACTATTATTTTCACCAATTGTTATCACAACACGTCGATTGCTGACTAACTTAACTGTAAAACGTACAATTCACGCTGTATAATTCACAAACCAATGATACGCTCATGGCTGCAAGTACATTAGTGAGGACTGCAACGATGAGATGGAAGTTACGGTAAAGTGACAAAGACAGAAATATCGTTGCGTACAGCGTTGCCACTAGTTGTAATAAATATCTAACACTATACAGAAAATAATGAATTTTAACTGATCAGTAATCAGGAAATGTATAAGTATTACTCATTACAAGCTCATTACTGATTTTTGTCATAAATAATACCTTTTAATCGTACTAGTATTGTGTATTATCTATAATTTGCCACAACGCGCTTTACTATCAATCATTATTGGTTTTACTATAGGTTGAATATATTGAAAGTTTTTACAATTTTTCTGGATTTCAATATACTATTTTTTTAATTGCCTGCAAATTCAACTTGTCAATTACTACCATAAATCAATAAAAACGTTATCAATGAAAATCATGAATTTGAATCCTTCTTTATAGAAAAAAAAACACTGATGAAGGGAATAGAGAAACTTTAGTGTTCACTGATATAGAGGTTTACATTGTCAAATATAGATGTCACACACTACACATGTCACACATGCTATAAACAGTTTCGAAAAAGAGTAAAACAAACTTCTGCTTGATAAAGCTTATTATAGTATTGAGGAATTTCTTTTGGGTGACTTCGCAACTCATAACTGCAACTTATAAAATTTTTTATCACAGACTTTTACCTTAGACTTTTTGAAGTGTGTTTGAGCCATGTTAATATCTTGTTTCAATTCTTGACCTTAATTTTAATTTTTCTGATTGTTTTAGTTCTTAAGCCTGCTTTGTCAACAAAACCTAAACTTTTATGACAATAAAACATTTCTGACTCTGACTTTATAACTTGTCGTCATATTCGAGAAGTACCAACTTGAATTTTGAAGAATTGAGAATACATTTCGTTAATTTTTTTTTGTCTGGATGGCATTTTTGATAAATTCAAATATTCCATACATTTCAAGTAACTCTAAACACTTGAAATTTACTATATAAGTGAGAATTTCAGCACGAGTAAAAATGTAGTTTATTGAATCGAGTTTGCAGTCATTTCATTCAAAATTAAGGCTTTTTGACTATTATCAGAATTTCATACACACACAATAATATTTAACAATATAATGTACTCACTAAAATAAAAGTCAGGTAGATGCAAGATAAATATTCAGTGAGTTATTCGTTTATTTTTTAGAACAAGAACAATCATTATGGCATTGTGTTTGGAAAGCTAATACCGCCATTCCTGTCCAGCATCTTGCTTTCAGCCCTGACGGTACTCTCTTTGCTACTTGTGGCGAAAATGATAGGCTTGTTAAAATTTGGTATGAAAACAGACACGGTGAGTCGAAAAAATAATGCCTGTTTTGTCGTCTTTTCCACATTCACAAATTTTCAGTACTGTTTACATCAAAAAGCGCGGAGAAGCCACTTGACTTGGAGTATGGTTTTGTTTATATTGCCCATCCCAGAGCTGTAACCCATTTATCTTGGAGAACAACTAGTAAATATATGCCCAAGTATGTGGATAGCCCTGCATTAATGAAATATCTTCTCATTGGATTGTTTTTTCAGAGGTTCAGTTTCGAACATGTTGGTCACTTCGTGCCAAGATAATATTTGCCGTTTGTGGGTAGAGACAGTATTACCAGAAGACGGGTTGGTCAACTTGTCGCAACTCGATCCTCAAGCTCATCATCCGAAGTTCAGAACACACAGGCACAAACACCGATTTATGCAACGACTGAAACACATGAAGTAAGTTAATGATAATAAAAATTGGTTTAATAGTGTTAACTGAACTAATGAGGTGATTGAAATTATCTTCAAACTAGATGGTTGTGACTGACAGTTATTAAAAAAGGACACAAAATGATACACAGAACTATTAATTCAGAAAAAATATTGAATTATGGAGTTCCACGTGGAACAGTTCTTGTGGCCGTATTCAACATATTTTTGTTAAAATGCTCTGTTTTTATTTGAAAAATTATGGTTTTATACATAGCTTTGCAGACATCAATGTCACAGTTTGAAAGTCAGAATCACGGGAATCTGTGAAACATCTCATACAATTTGATTTTGAAAATGTAAGAAATTGGTTTGATAATAATTTGTTCATTTTCAATTTCGAGAAATGACATTATCTTCCTTTTCCTTTTTATCAAAATCATCTGCCTAATCTTTGCCCTATCAAAGTAACGTAACATGACTGACAGACTACGAATAGACGATCTCTAGGTGGCTTGCAGAGTTATTAATATTGCCTATCCAGAACACGAGGCTAATGACCAAGTAGTCGATGCTGTTGAGTTGGCGTCTCATTCATTAAAGACTCTAAACTTAAAAAAATTGTACAGAAACTATATATAAATACTTTGTTGCCGCAAAATACAATTCAGGATGATAGATCAGCATAAACAATTCGGGGTGATATATGAGAAATTTACAGTTGTGTAGTTGTAGTTTGTTTTCCATTATGCAGTTATTTAGGGCGAAGCTTGACTAATTCTTGTCAGTGCTGCTCGAGATTTTGTTTTTGATCTGATTCAGATATGGTCAATTTAAGATCGTCGTCTATCACTATTGTCAAAGAGAGTTTTGTTGTTTGTGATAGGAATCAATACAGAATTCTATTCTGAAAATTTTAGTCTCATCATAATATACTGTTTATTCAAATTGACAATAAGTGAAGTAAAGAGCTAGGGGTATCAACTCTTGATAATAGCAACTATGCAGCCCAAGCAATAGTTGATAGTTTTTCTTTTCAAAATCTCTTTCAAGTAAATGATAAAAATAACTGTTACGGTGTAATGTTAGATTTGATTTTTGCAAAGGAACCACACAACTGTACCGTAGACATATGTAATGACTGCTTGTTGCCATGCTATGCTCATCACTCAGCATTAACAATGATTCTATCAATAGTGAATAGTCATAAGGAACTAGAATATTAATATTTCTATTTTGATTTTAAGAAAGCTGATTATTTTGGATTGAATTATTATTTAGCTGGTATTGATTGGGAATATCATTTGAGAAATATAACAGATATAAATGCGGCTACAAACATTTTTTATAATTTTTTGTATGAGGGTATATGTAACTTTGTACCGCATGTTAGGCAAACTAAGTGAAAATTTCCCCGTTGGTTCAACACTGATTTGAAGAAACTCATTATTGAAAAGAAACAAGCTCATAAAGCCTATAAACTAAGTAAATCTTGGGATGACTACCAAATATTTTCAGATTTCAGAGCCCGATGCAAACTGGCGTCAAAAATTTGTCATGATGATTATATTAAAGGAATTGAAAATAACTTGACATCAAACATAAAAAGCTTTTGGAATTTTGTTAACAACAAACGGGAAAATTATGGCTTTTCTGATACTATGTACTGCAGGGATAATATTTATAAGAATGGAAATGACATTGTTAATGCATTTGCAGACCATTTTCATTCAGTTTATAGACCACATAAAGATAAGGAAATACCAATATTAAGTTATGAGAAAACAATTGATATCACAATTACACTACTAGATAAAATGACAATTTTCACCTGCCACGATGTAGTTTATCAAACTCCATGAAAATTTTATTATATAAAGGCCTCATTGAATATAACAAACTTCCCCAAAATGTGAAGAATAATAAAAACCTGTTTCAATTCAAAAAAGATTTGACTGATTATATGAAAGGTATCACAATAGAATAGTATTAGTATTATATCCTTACTATGTGTGTCTATATAACATGAAATATTATGTATATTATGTTTGTGTATTAGGATATTCCTACCAATAAATCATTCATTCATTCATCAATAGTTGTACAGTTTCCTTAGAAATTATCCTACAAAAATTATCGGAATTAGATCCATATAAGGGTCCGGGATCAGATGGCATTTCACCGATGTTATTGAAAACCTGTAGATTTACACTAGCTAAACCATTATTCTTATTTTCAGCTTCATTTAGTTTGGGAAAATTCCCCCTCGTTTGAAAATCAAGTTATATAACGCCAGTTTTCAAGTCTGGCAACAAAGCTGACATAAATAATTTTAGACCGATCAGCATATTAAGTACAATACCCAAACTACTTGAACACATCGTTTGTGATAATATAAAGAGTCCTTTAAAACAAGTGATTATCGATGAACAGCACGTATTTAGTGAAGGTAAATCTACCAACACTAATCTACTGTTGTACACCCAGTATATTTTGAATGCTCTGGAAAATAAACAACAAGTGGACGTAATTTACACCGATTGATTGATTGATTGATTGATTTATACAGCTGGTTATAGTATTGCAAGGAAGAAGTTGGAACGTTTACAGTCTATACGAGATCTGGGTGTTATGATGGATGACAAGATGGACTTTCATTTACAGTATGAACACATATCTAACAAAGCGATAAAAATGTTAGGATTCATATGCAGATCAACAAAAGAATTTACCAACATTTTTTCTATCAAAATACTATACTTTGCACTGGTTAGATCAGTGATTGAGTATTGCATCTGTATCTGGTCTCCAACATACTTCAATCACAGTTATGATATTGAGAAAGTTCAGAATAAATTTCTTAGATATGTTGCCTACAAAATGAACATGCCAGCTAGAAGTCATTCGCTCTTTGAAATTCGCTCTACTATTGGATTGCTCAAACTCAGTACAAGACGGGTACATACAGACATAATATTCCTACATAAATTGTAGAACAACGAAATCAATTGCCCAACTCTTCTTTGTCAAGTCAATCTGCATGTTCCCCCGAGAAGGACACGTAACAACCAAACTTTCAGTCGCGACTTTCATAGGTGTAATTATGGAAAACATTCTCCTTTGTCCAGAATTATATCGAATGCAAATGGGACCAATATTGATTTTTTTCATATCTCTCAGAGCACTCTTAGATATACTCTGCGTGGTTTAGATTTATAAGAATATTTTTTTTATCACAATTTCATTTTAATTTTCTGTATGTAGGTTGATTTATTTGATATGTAGATACTAGAATAGTTAACTTTCTAAAGTTAATATATTGTATAAAAATTGGGGGTTACCCGTTGAATAAATAAATAAAATAAATAAACTCTATCTCTTTGGTGCTCGTTATTTATAGTTTTTGAATATTGATGTAATACTCCAAAGAATCTTGTTTGTTGGGGGGTTAAAATGGACACCAGTATGTATTGACACAATCATGTCGCTGGAATTGCAAAGGCTGCTTCCCAAAACCTTGGAACACTGTTCCGAACCAGAAAACTGTACACACCTCAGCAACTTTTGATGCTTCATAAAGCACAGGTCAGACCTTCTTTGGAGTATTGTTCTCATGTATGGAGCTCCGCTCCTAAACATACCCTGAAGTTGCTGGATCCATCCAGAAAAGAGCCATCCGTCTGATTGGAGATGCGAACATCAAGTGCAACCTTGATAGCCTGGAACATCGAAGAAAGGTTGGAGATTTGTCTCTCTTCTATAGATACTTTCACGGGAAGTGTTCAAGTGACCTGGCACATTTAATTTCACCAAGAGCGGTACATATCAGAAATACTCTGAGAGATGGATTTTCCTGTAGTGTTTGTGTTTCGTCCTTGAAGATGCTTTGGAGATGCTTTGTGCTCAGTTTTAAGTTTTCTAGAAAAAATCTCAGGAATAAAATGATATGTATATGAGGAAGGTCAGAGAGTTCTAAATAATATTGTGCATAGGTCTATTTGATCCTCCACTGCAACCCGCCGAGGTTTATTGTGGCTCACACCTATTCAAGCTCAACCAAACAACTCCAGTTTCTCAATGAACCCAAAAACTTTATGTGGAACTCTGGTACAATTTACGGCTATAAGAAAACTTGAAGGACCAAAGGAATGTCACTCATTTTTCAACAGATGAATTCTTTAGGTTCACTCGTTTGCTTTCATTTCCAGAACTTGTTTCCACATAAGACGAAATGCCAAACACCATCCCCATGGTACGGGTGGACCTTCGCCTCCAATACCCACCTTGCCATCCACTTACAGTGTACATGATTTTCACTCTTATGGCTACCATGGCACAGGTAAATCCAAAACTATTTATGAATTGTACATATATTTTCTTGTTACATTTTTTTTTCTAGGAATAACTCCTGGATTGCATTTCCATTTAGCAGCGTCTGTCAACGCTGAAACCGATATACCCTTGGTACCCAGTATCACTTATTGCAACCCACGACCGGCATTTGTACTTCATTGGTTGGATAACAAGGAAATGCAGTTTAGTTTACAAGCTGAATTGTTTTTGGAGGAGTTTGCAAAGTAAGTTTTTTTCGTTACATATTTTGTTTGTGTATCCTAGAAACTCTGTTTAATTGGATTGTTTCATAACTTATTAATTCCTAACCTATCTACACATCTAGACATCTGTCTAAACATTCGTCGAAATTTTTGGGAAAGAGACATCTATCTAAACATTCCTCGAAATTTTTGGGAAAGAAAGTTTTTGGCTTTCTACTACTCCATATTGATACATAGTAGAAAGCCAAAAACTTTCTTTCCCAAAAATTAGTCACTCCTAGAAATATAACCCTTCCAGTTCATTTCTTGAAATCTTCCATCAAACATTGCTGCAAATCTATGATAGGGAGTGCTTTGAAAATTCATGCATAGAAGTCGTGTATGATGAGATGATTTTTTTTATATGTTCGCAACGTGATTTCCATTCAATTTTTTTTCATTTGGCTATATTTTTTCAAGGTTAAAATCTACTTTTTTTTAGCAACATATTGCTTCATAGAGGCTCAAACAAGTTCTACTGGGTTCAAATCCGGGATAAAGTGGCAGACTTGGAATGTCATGTCCACTGTCGCTAAGGGTAGCTTGTAATATCCTCGAAAGCACGATGGATGTTGTTCACAGTTGTTGCCTGAGGGAGCAGATGTCAGTCAACCCCAGCAAAACTGTGAGAAAATTGTATGATCTAACGCCATCAGTACCACACCATCAGCGGCAATGGAGATCCTCGCCCTTACAAGATGCAATCCTCGCCCTTACAACAAAGATGTATAATGCCTTAGATACAGGAAAACCCTCTCTATGTGTATTTATAGACCTTTCAAAGGCATTCGATACGGTCAGTCATGACTTGCTTCTGGAATGCTTGGAAAACATCGGCATAAGGGGAGTGGCCTTAAAATTATTCGAAAGTAATCTTTCCAATAGATTTCAATGTGTTGAACTGAAGATGGTGAGGAGCAATTTTCAAAGAATAGAATATGGTGAACCCCATGGAACTGTTTTGGGACCACTTCTGTTCAATATATATTTGAATGATCTATTCAGAATAAACACAAGTGGTCAAATTATTACTTATGCGGATGATACAAACTTATTAATTCCTAACCTATCTACACTTGGTGTAAAAATATACAGAGACATCTATCTAAACATTCCTCGAAATTTTTGGGAAAGAAAGTTTTTGGCTTTCTACTACTCCATATTGATACATAGTAGAAAGCCAAAAGCTTTCTTTCCCAAAAATTAGTCACTCCTAAAAATGTAACCTTTTCAATTTATTTCTCGAAATCTTCCATCAAACATTGCTGCAAATCTACGAGATGGAGTGCTTTGAAAATTCATGAATAGAAGTCTTGTGTGTGATTTAACTGCCGAAGGTGGGGAGCTTTTCGTTTTTTACATTATGGTAGGGTGCATTGCCCATTAAGATAACACGCTTTCACGATAAATCAGGAAAAAGCTACCCCTGAAGCCATTTTTAATCGTTACAATATTCCGTCTCACTGTGATAATCGCCAGTTTTTTCTTGAGATCTGAACATCAAATAGGTATTTGGAACAAAACCATTTTCACTACCAGCATTAACACTAATCAATCTTTGTCCTTTACAAGTTGGTTTGTGTAGATCTCGTGTCATCACTGTAAGCTTAATCATGGGTACGTGTTGAATGGATATGTTTCATCCACGTAAATGATTGGTTGAATATTCCTCAGAAAATAGGTCCTTTTCTGCTGCATATTCGGTTTTTATATCAAAACTTTTCTATTTGTTTCAATTGTTTCCCATGAAACCCTCATTTTATGCATAACTTTTCGTAAACTGTCTGAAAATCCAGAGTAATTATTGTCCCTTCGAAACTTTTTATGGATGGTATGTAAAGCAAGCACTCTCTTGTTGATTGTTGCAGAAATAATTATATTATGTCAAAAAAATACCTTCATCAAAGTAGTCTGACTCTGTCTTTGGACTTGACCTCTTTCTTTATCGTGGAATTGAATTTTTGCCATTCTCCAGTGTTTTCATTTCTCTTACAACTTGAATGGTTCAATACATCATTAGCTTGCACTGCTCGTTCCTGAACTATGTTCAAATCTTTTATTGGCTTACCTGCATGTGACTCTTGTTGCATAATTTGCAATAATTTCTCTGCTTGACACAAATTCCATACTGAAGTGCCATACAACTGCCACAGTACAAATTACAAAATTAATCTCACTTTCTGTTCTGGCTATACTTGAGTCAACTTCCTATGATGTAGGTAGAAGATATTGTCCAAAAAATAACAACTGCCTTTGCTAATTAAATATAATGAGCCAAAATTTAAGCAAAGCTTATCACACAATCACAAGTGACAGTATCGAAATATCACTAGAGAAGTTGTCTTATTATGGAGTTGGGAATTTCACATAAACTGCTTGAATCATACCCGTCAAATCGTCTTCAAATGAGTCGGAGGAAAAAATCACTCTCTCGGACAATTTTTGTTGAACAAGAAGTGCCTCAGGGTTCTATTTCAGGGCCGAATTGCTCTATCATTTATACTAACGAATTTCTCAAAAATAGGGTTTAGGCAGTTGACAACTTTTCTAGTACAATTTAATTCTGTCAAATAACAATATGGAGAAATGATTATCTGTTCACATGTGTTTTTCAGGATTATGAAAATAACGAAGTTATTGAAATGAATAATCTGGCTGATTGGTTGTAATTAAAAACTATTTTTTTAGACCTGTTGTCGACAATCCCGATTCGGAAGAGTCATCTGAGGAACCGTTAATGGATTCTGGCGTGGCGGATGGTGTTGATGCGCGCATAGAGAGTTTCCTAAGAGATTGGCATCACAACCCGGATTTAATAGTAGTGTCTAACTCTCTTGCAACAACTGTCACTGCATGATATCCTGCTGCTAGTCTTTTACACAAGTAGTCCTCATTGGAATCAAAGTTTAGATTTTCGTCAATGAAGAGCCCTAAAAATTTGTTTTTCTCCAAATTTTCAGTTTTTACATTTTCCAAGTGTACTTCCCCTATATTACATATAAACGTGACCACTTTTGTTTTGTCGATGTTGAATGATAAAAGATTGTAATTCCCCTACTGTTTCACCCTTCTTATGTTGACGATGATTTGATCAAGTAAATTTGAGGGTATTGCTGTGCCAGAGGATAGCAGTGTCGTCAGTGAAACATGAAACAAATCCTGGCAATGTTTTTCCTACTTTACTGGTATTATAAAGAGAAATACTCTTTTGACCTAGTGAATTTCTTTATAGAATTTTCGCTTGGCGCAAATGAGTTTTTCGAGCGACCGAAGAATTCTATTTATAGTTTCAGGATGAGTAAGTACTTTGATTTGAATTTCACCTTCCAATAAAAGTCAGACATTAAATAAATATTTTTTGAAGTAGGTCAGTCCTAAAATACATGCATTTGTTAATTTGTCACAGATATACAGAAATCATTATCCAGTTTTTTACAAGTTTTCAGTCGGTAGTAATTGATCCAAATGAATTTTGAAAAAATTTGATGACGGTGAATTTTTCGCTCCAGTTGAGAGGTTAATGAAATCAATCAATCTTTTGAAAAAAATATGTTTTTATTGAGTTTTTATTACGCATTATTATAGTCAATAAATGAGGTAAGATAATTGAGTGCCCAAGTAAAAAAATGGGCCATGCCATACAATTCGTTTTTTTTTTATGATTCTGGATCGTGCTGCTACCTTTAGACCATAATTTGACCTCATTGGAAGTGTGCCATATCCCTATATTCATTTACAAGATGAATAATAAGTTATTTTACTGAACGTTTGACTTATTCTACAAAAACCATCCGTTTTCTCAAAAAATTGATTTTGTTGCATAGCCCCTTCTCTTACTGAGAACCAAATTTGTTGCTGTACAAGAAAAGCATCTATAAAAATATTTACTGTCACAAAAACATATGTCTGTTGGATAGAATCCAATATCTGTCGTGGTTTAGTTAGGGAAGTGGTTTTCTTGAAGGCATCTGCCAAGTCCTGGGTATGAAAATTGGGAGAGAGATGAAATAATGTATTTCCTGAGATTTATAAAAAAGGTTTCAATGTAGTTTTCAAAAATAGTAGCAATAGGGGCGACTGTGCTAGGAACAATATACACACAGCTTGTCGAAACTAGGAAGAGACTTGCGAATTATATCTCTCTCTCACAGTCTCCTAACAAACGTGCATTTTAGAGGAGGTCCTAAGCCGAGACTTTGAAGTCACTTCCTAGATTTGACAAGCTGTATTAATTTATAAATGGTTCTTTTGACATCAAACCTATTTTATTTTAATGCTTTTAAGAATAATTTTTTTCAAATATTTTCTTTGAGCCAATTTTAATCACAGTCAGCAATATGTTAAAATATGTACCAGGGTTTTTAGTTATTCCACTCACAATCCGTGATGATTTATCAATAACCTCAAATTATTTACAGATACCAGTAATTACCGACGACAAAAACGAAGCCGTGCCAATAGTCTTTCTAGTAACAAAACATGATAATGGAACGCTGAATCTGTGGCAGATTACGTTCGCTGACAAAAGCAAGTTCAGTCAAGTCTTGAGCATCGGACACAAAAGCAGAGCTTCCGGTCATAGATTCAGAGTCAACGACATAACGTGTCATCCAGTTTTACCGTTACTTCTGACAACCAGCCACCATAATATTGTCGATCAGAAATCACACGTCCGTAATGTATGTATATAATTATGAGGTACTAGGTATAGCCATCCATCTTTTCCATACTTCAAATTCTGAAACTAAAAATACAACTCTTGTGCAAGTTTTTCCAACCGTATCGGTCTATCACAGTAAGCAGTATTCCATAGAAGGTACAATTTAAGCTTTATACACCATTACAAGATGATGGGGGTGTGCAAATCTTTCTGAAAAGTTTTTTTAGATATTGATTTCCAGTTGATACCCAACAAATTATTCGACTCAGTCATCGAAACTGGGTACTTTTACATTATGATATCCGGTTTTTTCACATTCACCTTCTTACTAATGACTAATGATAANACCAATCGGTTGACCAGCGGCGGTCGGAGTTTTTTTAGTCAGGGAATGATTTATAACCATACACTAGTTCTGCTTTCTTTTTGAGTATTGCCATGCCATGTTTCATATCACATATCAGCATACTTTCAGCAACATGATTTTTTTGTATTATATTTCTAGTATTTTTTCCTCGGCTAGATTTACAATTCGATGATTTTTGGATGCCCGATGTTGAACGTCATTTAACGCTGCAATAAATTCTAATTCTCATTTCTCAGGGATTCTGTAGCGAACTGATACTCTGGAAAGTGGACGCGGTAGGCCCTCTATCGAAGTCCGGGGGAATATGCGAACTGGCTCGGATCAGCAGCCCTGAACCTTCGGCTTTCAGCAACGTTGCCTGGATCCCGACTCTGCTTCCCTCTAGCACCCTCGGCAATCTTTCGAACTCGCCCAGCGCTTGTTTCGTGGCTTCGGACGGACAGTGTCTTAGGGTCTACCAGGCGGTCATCGACGCGAGGACGCTTCTGGCCGATCTCTCGTTCAAAGATAACAGGAACCACGAAGAGTACGAAAGTGTTTCGGATTTGTCTTCTTTCAATCAGGAGAGCATGTTGGAGAACATCAACATCGTGTCTCAGCAGAGCACGTCGAGGCCGGGGTGTATAATACAGCTTGAGACAATTTCGGAAGCGATCCAATGGCAAAATACTACTTTCTTGCATGTCTACCAGGAGCAGTTGATAACTGGTGAGTTTAGTGGAATCAACATGAATATATGATCCTTTTCTCTTGATATCCTAAGATGTAGTGGTTTTGTTTGTTATTTGACTCTACTTTTTCTTTTTAGGATTGCATTCATTTTGGTATTCCAAGTTCTCTTTAATTATTTCGAAACAAAACTAAAAACAATACAGTTTTTATACTTCAGATTATGCATTCATATTAAATAGAGATTGGAGTAATTGTTGATATCATTTTTAATTTATTTCTCTATGAAAACATTTCTTTCCAGATATTTTTTTTATAACGACCTGTAAATGTAAAAGAAATATTTGCGTATATTCCATATTTTTTTAATGCTTTTAAGAATAATTTTTTTNGAGAACTTCAATTGTTCAGGGTATTTACCTTCATAAAAGCTTCTATTTATTAAAATACTTAGTGGATGTGATAAAATGTCACCAACACTACATTGTGAGATTTTCACTGGAAAGTTTTAAAAAATTTCAGCACGTGTTTTGATAGCTTCCTCAAGTGTTTTCATAAGAAAAAAAGTAAAATACTTTGAAGTTAACTTCAAGAAACAGATCGAAATCTTAATTATTTTAATATAAGTCCATTTTATTACTTTCAATGACCTTTCTTTCAAAGCAAATTGCAGACACAATTTTCATCTTTCACACTAGCAGCAGTTTCCTAAGCTCATGTAGAATAATAAATACTGAGCTATATTCAAAACAATATATTATAGGGGAAAATGAGGTTATATTACATCACACACCAAAAACATTTTTCATGGATATACCTCTTGAAAAATCTTCTATCGCCTTATATATCTGATTCCGGCAATGATGATCACAACGCAGGCAGTAATTTTAGCAACTGAAATCAACATCTGTCATAATTCAGTATCACAGAACCACGATTAAATGTTGTCACTTACTTTCAACGAGATTTTGGGAAATCATTTCCTAAATTAGTTTCAATTTTTGACTGGGTTTTATTTCGACATTTTCAGATGACGTTCATTTGACAATTCTCTTGATGTCTACAAAATAATTTATACAGAGTAACATTGCCATAATTTTTATAGACAGATGTTGAAGTTCAAAGATTTTTCGTGGGTCGTTTTTGTGCTGAATTGAAACTGACACAATACATGAAAAATACTAGTTGATATGCTTTATTTTTTGGTCATAATTCCGGTGTTAGCGTTTTAAAAAAATTAATCAGAACAGAAAGGTGTTGGCTTTCTACTTTGCCATCTTCAAAGAAAAAAATGTGGGAATCTTTCAAAGAAAGAAAGAAAGCAAGTAATTAATTTCAAATTGATCTCTTCACAAAGATGTGTAGATCATGCAAAGAAGTAACTGGCAGACATTAATTCGCTCATTTGATTCAATCCCAATTTGATCCAATCGTTCGAATCGAAAAGGTTATATTTTTAGGAGATATACATTTTTGGGGAAAAAAGGTTTTGAATTTCTACTTCTCCATCTTCATACAAAAAAATGTGGGAATCTTCCATGCAGAGAAGTAACTTTCAGATACAAACTGGATGAAAAAGCCATCTCAAAACAACTACTTTCATATAAACATTGAATTATACAAAAAACACGTAGGAATCACACGTTAAAAGATAAGAGCTCGTTAGTCCTTAGCTCGCACAAGTTTCTCAACTTCTGAGAGTTGTCGTTCGTATGGGGGCGACAGCTTATTAACGGAAAAACAGATTTTAAACAGATTCAACAGATTTAAACAGTTTGTACTCCAAATATTCACCATTGAGGATGACAGTATTCCATATAAGTGAAATTTTACTTCTCATGTAACAATCCTGTGAGTAATATCTAAATCAATTCCATAACGAATGTTAGGAGTACAAACTAAATTGGAAATTGTATTTTTGTATAAATCAATCTTCATATAAAAGTAGTTGTTTCGAGATGG